ATAAAATACAAGAAAAGGGGAGGCCGGGCTGGGGATATGGCTCAGTGGGTAAGTACCCTAGGTTCAATCCCTGGTACCAAAAAATAAATAATAAAAAAAGAACAGATGTCTGATAAATTTGTGCTCATAGGGAGGCTGACCTTCTACCCCTGGATTAGCCAGATCCTTAATGAAGAGAGTGGAGAGTTGTTCAGGTGTCCAAGCAAACAACATCAGCTTCAGGTGAGATCTATCAACTTGCCAAGGGAAGCCATAAGTGGATTGTTCAGGTCCTAGAGTAGGGACTTTGGGGTTGAGTCAGCCTGCTATGTGAAACATTCCTTAACCTGAGTCTACCTGGTGTCCCTCATTCCCAACCAAGGACACAAAAGGCTGTGCAATCTGACACCTCAGATTGCAAGGATAGAATTCAGGAGAGAAATGCATGCAGAGCCATCCACAATAAGATTAACAGAATCAAATTATAAAAACACTCTGTAGGGTAGAAAATTAACAGCATCAGAGACAAGAAACATGAGAGTGAAGTGAACTCAGTCTCCCACACCTTTCAGGTCTTCTTCCAGCCCCACCAACACTGCCCCATGTCCCCCACCATCATTACCCTCCATGTTGCCAGAGTAAGTTTCTTGACACTCTCTCTCTACCTCAAACCATGACGTAAAAGCTCACATCCTTCACAGGATGCTCAGAAGCATCCAGAAATAGCCCCAGCCTCTCACTATGTCTCCCTCCCCATGTTCTTTGATCAAATGGAACTATTTTATATTCTTTTAACTGCTCCATATGCTTCCAGTCTCCAGACTTGAAATGCCTTCAGCAAATCTTTCAAAGCTCACATGACAACCCTTCCAGGCCTGGTTCATCCGGGTCCCATCTCCTTGGGCTGAGTCCATCAGTCTCCTGATGCTTTCCCAGTGTTCCTTACCCTGTTGGACCTGATGGACCTTATATTCTCATTAATGGTGTAATCCAGTCACACTCGGATTCTCACCAGAGAGTGCACTCCTCGAAACCCACACAAGGGCTTATTACTTTTTAAAACTCTCAGTGCCTGACTTGGTACTTGCCACTTGGTAGGTCCTTCATAAATAAAGGATCCAGGTCATCAGTCCAGGTTTGCATCTTCACGCCTGACCTTGGAGTGGTCATACTCAAGTATTGCTCTTGCGTTCTCCATTTCATGCCACCTGAAGGTCCATGATCATTAGGATGCCCCACATCAGTGCTTCCCAGCTCCATACAGGCGCTGTACCTTGCATAGGAAATGAGTCCTCGTGTTGCAGGAAATAAACTTCTCAAAGATTGCACCAAGCACCAAGCAATGAATACAGGGCATCTAATAAATGCTATTTGATTATGGTAATGACTTATGGGTACTTACTTATCTGCCATTCAAGTCTGTGCTTTGAAAAAAACAAACAGTGGCACCCAGGGTCAAAGGCTGGTATGATTTCCAAGGAAATCCACTTTTTAGCATAGTGGGATCTTGGATCCACTCACTCCTTTGTAGAATCTCTCCATCAACTGCTGGCGGGTGGCCTTTCATTGCACAAGGACTCCACTATGGTACTCTATTTGGGGGGAGACTGATTAGTGATGACCTGTCAGGCCCAGAGAGAAACAAGAAATATTCTGTGACTCTCCTTCCCAGGCCTCCAAAGATTGTCTCATTGGGGGAAAGGCAAGGAGGGGGGCTGCTCTTCAGAACAGACAAGTGCATGCAACTGAGGCAGAATTCAGAATTCAGCTCGTTCAGCATTCAGAACAAAACAGTAACAGACCACAGCTTTTCCTTGTGCTCTAGCTCCATAAGCGAGATCCTCTGCACAATTAGAGGATAATTATTGTCTGCAATCAGAAGGGGAGAAGTGTCAGAATGAGGCCAGCAGAAGCTGTGACCTGGTGGATAATTTATTACACGTTGAACGGCTATTTTTCTCTCTCCAGGCCTTTGTGAGAAAAACATGGAAATGCTACAAGTACATCCCGGGGAGCCACAGGGTGGCAGGAACCCAGGATGCAGGAAACATAATTGCCTTTTTTCTCTTCTGATTCAAACTTTATCAAATCTTTTGCTCCCAAGGCATTTTTTTGCAGCAGGAGTGTGCATGATGTTCCAGCACTGGGGCTCATTTCTGTGGCACTCCTTGGCCCAGAGCCTGAAGATGTTCAAGGCCTCCCAGCTCTCTGCCTGCCCCCCTCCAAGGCTCAGAGGCTGCACGACAGCTCTTCCCCTGCAGTCCTGATTGGCATCCTCCCTAAATTCTCTCTGGGCTCCAACCTAATCTCTTTACATTCCGTGCTGATTTCTTTTTTGGAGGGGTGGGGTGGGGGTGGGGCTGTGTTCTTGGGGGAGACTTGCAAGATAAGATAAACAAGGACTATTCCTGGTTCAAATGATTTTTTTTTCCCTCTTAGGAGAGAACAATGGGGCTTATGGGCTTCTGTAGGACTCAGAACATCCATCCATCAGTCTAAGTCTTCTTGTGCCCCCTCGGCTCAAACAGGAAGGTTTTGCCCTGAGGCAGCTCACAGCAGAGAGGAATTCAGAATAGAAACCCAGCAAGGTGCTTAGAAGATAGAAGATCAATCCCCTCCCCCATCAGCCAAGAGCCCTAAGAAGATAGGAGATACCCACACACTCCCCCATGACAAAGCAACAGCTATATGTGGGAATTTGGTTTCCTAGGAAGGTTTTAAAATGTCAAACCTTCTGCTGCCTGTGTTTGGTCATACGGAAGGTATTCAAAAACCTATGGCGGCCCAGTGTAGTGGCGCATGCCTGTAATCCAGCGGCTTGAGGGGCTGAGGCAGGAAGATGGTAAATTCAGAGCCAGCCTCAGCAATTCAGCAAGACTCTAAGCAATTTAGTGAGACCCTGTCTCAAAGTAAAACATTTTTAAAAGGGGTGGGGATGTGGCTCAGTTGTTAAGCACCCTGTGTTCAATCCCTAGTACAAAACTCAAACAAAAACAAAACCTGTGGTAACTAGCAGGGCCTGGGGCTCCCAAAGTCCCTGTCTTCCTTCCAGCTCCACCTTCAACACAAAGAACCCAGCTCCTTCCACGTGCCCCAGCCATGCCACAGCCATCGCAGTTCCCAGATACAACAGGCAATGATTCCATCCCTCCCTTGTCCTCAAGCTCTGTCTTCTGGGGCCTGTTCTGCCTAGGAAGACCTCCTCAACAGTCAGAACCCACTTTTCTGGAGACCTCTGGGCAGCGTAGACCCTCTCTGTCACTGTGCCTTGTCCACGCCTTCCTCATACTGAGGACCCTGATGTATGCCCGTGGTCACCAATCCACCAGTGAGACGCGCTTTGAGAGCTCACTCATCTCTGCATTGTCAGCACCCAGAGCAAAAGCAATGAGATGTCACGAAAAGTTATCAGTATTGAATGCTCTAGAATCTTCTCGTTAACATATTCTTTATATCTCTCATATTCATTCATTCACTCCATCCATTTCAGACATTTATTGAGCAACCATGATGTGTCAGGCATTAAGCTCAACCCACTGTCTGCCCTTCAGAATCTTCTAAACCTGCATATCCTAAAATTGCCCTTGGAGTGAATAGGAGGAAAGAAAAAACACCATCCTGTGTGTGTGTGTGTGTGTGTGTGTGTGTGTGTGTAAATACAGCATTTTAAAAAGGCTTAAAGGCCCTTTTGTTGAGTAAGTAGGGTTTTACTTGTTTCTAGTCTGGGGAGGCATGAGAGGTAAGACAGTTCTACAAGCTGAGCTCTGTGTCTTCTCTGAGCAAGCGCATGCATTCGGCAGCTTCTGACCTCATTTTGAAACAGGGATGGGTGACAAATGGCATCAGTGTTTCTCAAAAAGTCTTAGGAGTCAGTCAGCCACTTCCTTGTCTAACTATCCTTTTTGTATCCTTTTTTTCCCTCTCTTCTTTTGCTAATTTTCCCTCCCCCTTCCCCTTCTTGCTGTTGACTTTATCCTCCCCTACAAAAACAGCCTCAGGTATTGCTTAGCCTCTGCCTTTGGGCCCTGCAGAGATTTGCTTCCCCATGGTTCCTAGGCCCCATTGAACCCAGACTCCACCGTGAGGTGAGGTACGGGGGAAGGAGAGGAAGGGGCAGAACTGGCCCAGCCTGTGTTCCACTCTATACCACACCAGACTCTCTGAGATGAGGGAGCTGGACCGGCATCTCAGGCCTGGGCCACAAAAAAGGAAGAACCCTGAGAAGAGACATCATTGCGTTTTCTGTTTGAAGCAGAAAAGCCAACAATGCATTGAATTTTGTGAAGGCCCCACAAGAAGCCTAGGAATGGAGGCTGGGCTCCTGCTAGGGTTTCCCTCGCCTCACTGCAGAGCCAGGGAGCTGGAACACAAAGGTGGTGCCTGCTTCTCACCAGTACACATGGTAAAACCTCCTCAGCCCAGCATTCAGCTTCCCCCAATCCTGCTCAGGAGGAGTGTGGCCTGGCCAGAAGGGGAGCTGAGAGATTCTCCGGGTGGGGCCCATGACTGGGATTCTCAGGCCTACAGGGACCAGGAAGGAGCCAGCTCAAGTGGGAGGTGTCTGAAATGCAAAGCCGGCTGTATACGCAGCACCACGTTAAAAATGTCAAGAACAAGGCAGGGGAGAAGGCGAGGGGAAGAGTGCCTTCTGGTTTGTGGGAGGTAGGTTATGAAATGTTAGAAGCGCACGTTGGCTTTCATGTGTCTGCTCGTTGCCAGTCCAATTGGCAGCCTTCTGGGACCCAGGAGAACAGATGAGAATGCAGCATCCAGGAGCCTGGTCCCACCCCGGGGACTTCTGACCTCCACCCTCCTGTGTTCTTTGTCCTACTGTGGCACCAAGAGAAATTTAGAGAACAAGTCAGTCCAGACATGCCCCATGCAAGAGTTCTCAAAGGCACAGCTCCTCGGACTGAAAGGTGACAAGGAGTTGCAGGGGCTCAGGAGCCCAGGTGGTGCACAGCATGAAAACACCAACTTGCTTTCAACTCAGCATGGTTTAGAAAGACACTGAGTGCCATTCACCATTCCTTATCCATGCGCCCTGCTACAGGGGACTTCCTGGATTTACAGGAGGCAGTTTCCTGCATCCCGAAGAACTCTATAATTATTTCTATCAATCCACAGTCTTCCTGGACAATGGCCATAAAGGGACAATGCCCAACATGGAAAGGCACACCTGCCAATCTTAGCAGGAACCTGGCTGCTTTGAAAGTCTACCACGCAAGAGTTGCTCTGGGGAGGTAGGAACGGGGTCACTGTCTTGGTTTTGGTTCCTAAAATGGTGATCTAGAAGCATGTGTTTCTTGGGGATATGATCCCTGGAAACAGTGAGGGGTTCGGGAAGCAAGAAAGAAGAGAGGAAAGACAATAAAGCAGAATCCTGCTGAGAGCAATTGAGACTCACTCCCAAGGGAGACCCTCTTATAGACGCTGGTGAATACACCTCAAGGGTCCTGTTGGCCTGAAGAAGCTCCAACCTTCACTGGTTAGCAATTGCTCCAGGAATCTTTAACTGGGGTTTCTTCTGGGCTGTCCTCTTCAGGAGCTCAGTAAACTTCCTGTGGCCCAAGAGAGCTACAGCTGGGGTGCAGAGGTGTAAGAAGCTACCATGCACCCATGAAGCTGCAGATGTCTTGCAAGGGGATCAGCTCCATCTATCCATGACAGCCATAGTGAATCCATAACAGCTCCTTGCCTGCATGCCTAGGCATGTCTATGCGCGTAGCATCTGCCTTTGGGCTCTGCACTTCTCTCACCATGGCCTTATAAATGGTGAGCCTCAGGTGGCTCCAACCTTACGGAGCCACGCAGCCCTGCCTTATCACATCAGGACATGGAAACAGCCCCTGCAGTCTCCCAGTGCCCGGCTCCTTCACTGTAAGTCCATGCCAGCTCCAGACTTGTGCTCAGCTGGAAGAGTGGGACTTGCTTTAGCTGTTTTGCTTAAGCCCCACTGATGAGCCACATGGGCTAATGGAAAAACTGGGAGAGATGATAGGAATTTGAGGTTTCTTGTCTCTATCGCCCCCCCATAGTTGACACTAAGAAAATCAACTCAACTTTCTGGGACTTAGCTCCCCACTTGGTAAAACTAGAATAACAACAGCTGCTCTATTTACCTCAAAGAGTTGTAGAAAGATTCAAAGGAGCCAATTCATGTACCCAGAGGCACCTTCACATATAAGGGATGCTTCCTGCAAAGCCTTATCCAGCTCAGCCTTGCCCTAATTACATTGGCCTTGGGCATCTTAAAGTCTCCCTTCTCCTCTCCATTCTGTCCTGGGAGCATACAATGTCCTCTGGGCTAGAGGAAACTAGGCCTTTGTTTGCAGTATTTCCGACAGACCAAGTCTGGGACAAGGCCACTCCTAGAGGCAGATAGGAAGTTCTCCTGGGACAACAGAATGGGCTTGCTGCCTGGGGGTGTGCTGGCCCCTCTCCCCTCTTCTCTGTTTGCTCTATGTCAAACTGCAGATTCCTAAATCACTACACATGGTGGCAAGTGGGATGACACAACCTCTTCCCCAAATTAATAGGGATTGTGGGGGCACCAGCTCTGTGCTTAATATGTGTCAATAAGCCCCATGTGATGTCCACAGAGAAGCAAGCATTGGCTCAAGCTCTACCCAGCCGTGCTTGTCAGTGACTGGAGCGACCACAGTGCCCACAGGTTGAAAAACAATATTATCCCTTCTTCCCTAGAATTCAAGGTTTATCGCACAATCTGACCCTGGGGGGTGCTCAAGACCGTAATGATGGTGACAGTGCCCATTGCAATATTCACGTGGGCCCAGCCCAGGCCCTTGGAGGGTGATGATTGGGGGAGGGGTGCTAAGCTCTTCTACATGGGCTCAGCAAGAAAAGCCCTTATCACCTTCCAGTTAAATACAATGAAAGCAAAGTGACTCTCTGGGACAGGAACACGTTGTGGTAGGTGGGGGAGAGGCCTGAGGGAGATGCTGAACAGTTCCCAGAATAAATTCCCACGTTATCCCAAAGAACTCTAAAGCAGAGAAGCCACTGCTCCTTTGTTCCTTTTTAAGCCAAATACTATCCTCCTGCAGAACAGAGTTGTTCTTGGCACTTGGGAGTCAATGCGAGGAGGGAACCAAACATGATGCCTGGGAAAGGAATCCACACGAAATCTGGAGGCTGGTACATGGTGAGAAACAACAAAGAGAAATGGATCAGAGGCAGGAACAAAGATTAACTGTACCAGAGGAGGTGGCACTTTGGCTCTTAAAATAGGGATGAGTGGAAGCTGGAAGTGGGGGTGGGTCGGCCAGCTGCAGAGATGGTGTGTCCTTCACCTCTGCTCTGAGGGATCAAAGGAAGGTCCCTGAGCTGTGTGGTGGCCTTAGGATGGGCTTCTAGAAGCTGAGGCCCCAGCCCTGTTGTCTCCTTCCATGAATCCCAAAATGACACCCTGTCTGAATCAGCAAGACTTCATCTTGGGATGCAAAAACTCTCCCCTTGTGAAGGGCCAGAACAGAAAGGACTGGACTCCTCTCTCTACCTTTCATTACTCTGAAACTGCCTCTAGGGGACTTTAGCAATTTTGACAAATGGCAGAATTTGGAAGAGATTCTTCACTGGCTAAGGGGCGCTGATGATTGGGCACAAACTCATTGCCGCTGTTCTTTGTAACTCCAGAATACAGGCTGAAATGTCAGGTTCCTTTTCACTCTTCAAATCTAAACCCCTAGTGCAAGCGCCTCAATTTACAGCACTTGCATGAAGAAGACAGAGTTCTCTGCCGTGGCAGGAACAGAGTCCTTACCCACACCATATGTTCCAGCCAAAGGCATCATGGTGACCACATTAGTCATCAGCCCGAGAGGGCTACACTTGCCCAACTCTGAAATCCTTGACTCACAGAGGACTCATCCATACTAACCCACTATTTACGCAACACCTTTCTCCTGGTGGCCCAGAGCAGTTTACGATCTGCTGCCTCATCCCTCATGAAAAGGTGTGGAAAGAGGAAGGGCAGACATAATCATCTGCATTTTAAATAGGGAAACTGAGGCTCAGCCAGGCCCTGAAGTGAAATGTACAGACGTTCATGAGTCAGACACGGCCCACGGAAGAGGTAACCTGAGATCTCCTGAATCCCAGGTGGACTATTTTCTAGTCCCACAATTCCACGTAGCTGTTGTGACAGATACACAATGTATTTGTGTGTGTGTTTGTGTGAGTGTGTGTGTGTGTGTGTGTGTGTGTGTG